AAATTTCAACTGAGGAGATCTGATACCAACCCTGATTATTGAAGCGATAGGAGATAATAGCTTCAAGCTAGCAGCAATTGATCACAGGACCATATGGTTAGAGATAGCACCAGTTTATCCAAACGCGACAGATAGAATAATCATTTTTGCTGAGTTCAATTCCGCCTCATCCATCTAATAGATCAAAATTCGATTCCTTTTCTTTATTTTCGACAACAACAGAAAAATTTCTTTTKGGGATTAAATCAAAAAATGTCTTCCGGTGGAGCTGGAACGTCTGAATACGCTGCGGCGGCTGGCTGTTCGCTGATCGAGCAACGCGAAAGCCTCCGTCCCAGYAGGAAAAGGAGCACGAGCAATGTTCTCCGAAAAAATCACAACGGGGGTAGCAATACCGGGATCGACAGTGTCCTGGACGAATGCAGCCTGGTGCTTTTTACCTGGGGACGAGGAGAGGACGGGCAGCTGGGGCTGGGGGATTCCTCCGACCAGGACGAACCAGAATACGTCGATTCACTGAGGGGCGTCGGTATTCGGCACATTGCCTGCGGTTCGGGACACACGGTAGTCCTCTCGACGGAGGGCGAGGTCTACACGTGGGGGAGGGGCGATGACGGCCGCCTCGGCCACGGAGACAACGGCTGGAAATATGTTCCCCGAATTACGCGGTCGCTAGAGCGACAGGTGGTCACGAAGGTGACCTGYGGCAGCTATCACACGGCTGCTGTCACCGGGAACGGGGATTTGTACACTTGGTGAGTTTTATTGTTCTCTAGTGTGTTAGTGTGCGCAGTATATAATKATGTGAAAAATATTTCKTTTTTTTTAGGGTATGTCACCCACACTGCACATAGCATCTTATCCAATTGTTCCACAATGTGTGTTCGACGTGCAAAATTGTCCAGGGGCGGCGGAATGTACGGCAAGCTCGGACATGGAAACGAAGCAGGACATTCTACTCCCAAACGAGTGGATGCCCTCAAAGGCTTGGCAGTAAACCAGATTGCTTGCGGTTCGAGGCACACCGCCATCGTTACATCCTCGGGTGCCATATATACGTGGGGGGACAAAGAAAACGGTGTGGTCGGTCACGGCGATACGACAGGGCATCAATACACTCCCAAGCTGGTACAACGCTTGGCGGAGAAACGGTACGGCTTMTTGTGTTTCGATCCCGCGTGTATCACGGGACTATCTTTTTTTCGTCTCTCACTTTACAAMTATTTGCTGGGTTTTGTTGCATTCATTTGAAATCGAAACATGCTTCTGGTAGAATTGTTCAACTTTCGGCCTGTGCCTTTCATACTGGATGTTTGACAGCGGATGGAGAGGTGTTTACGTGGGGTGAAGGAAAATTTGGAAGACTTGGCCATGGTGCTGAGCGGAATTGCCACGTGCCTCGACTCGTAGAGACATTGGTCGGGAGGAAGCCGCGTCAGCTTTCTTGTGGAGGCTTTCACACTGCCGTTGTCACTGAAGATGGCCGTTTGTACACCTTTGGTGGAGGAGAGCACGGCCAATTGGGCCACAACAATCGATTCAACAAGGTGAAACCAACCTTTGTGGAGGCCTTGGCGGGAGTCTTTGTGTCGCAAATCGCTTGCGGGTGGTCTCATTCCGTGGCCCTGACAAGCAAGGGAAAAATCTTCACCTGGGGCAACGGTGATCACGGAAAGCTGGGACATGGATCTGGTSGCAAGGTTTGCGTTCCAAATGAGGTCGAGAAACTGAAAGATTATCGGGTAGTTCGCGTCGCCTCGTACAACGAGCACACCGCGGCGCTTGTGGAACCTTTTGAGTCGAATGCCCTAGGCCCAGGAAGTGGGGCRGCATTCCCCGTCTCCTCAGCCTACGCATCCCAGATGCGGTCCTTGGTCAACGACGAAGAATTTTCTGACGTGACCTTCTTGGTTGAGGATCAACCTATCTACGCTCATCGTGCCATTCTGGTGCAGCGATGTGATCACTTTGCCGCCATGTTCCGATCGGGGATGAGAGAGAGCGTTGAACCGACGATACCGATCGTAGATATTACGAGGAATGTGTTTCTCCTCTTGCTGGAATATGTCTATACGGATGCGGTCAAGGTTGATGTGGATTATGCCATTGAACTCTATATCGCTGCAGACATTTACCATCTGGATCGGCTGCGCGACATGTGCTGCACGGTGGTTCGTCGGAACCTCAACGCCGAGAATGCGGGAMCGCTCGTGCAGACGGCAGACGAGAAACACTGCCACACCTTGCGCGATGTCTGCATGGCCTATATTGTGGAAAACTTTGATGCCGTGAGCAAAACCAAGGGCATCAAAGAGGTCAGCCATGGTCTGCTTCTGGAAATTCTGTCGCAGCGATGATGCTTGGCTTGAATGTGTTAGATGGATGGCATATTTAAAAAACATCTAAAACCGAGACTTTGATGGTGGGCGACGGTGCTATACTTTGTGCTCTTTCAGAATTTTCAGTGTACCRCCAATGCATTTGTGTTTCGACCGGATCAAGTTTTTTATGAGACGAATACTTGCATGATGGCCAATTCCTTGTCACAAAATAGAGAATGTAGAACACATACAAGTGAAGTCAACTAAAAATGAAGATCGAATTTGAGTGGCCTGTATGGAAATAGTGGTATAGAAGAAATTGAGCACAACAAACTGACGATAATTGATTGATCATTTTGGTTCATTCTTCGTGAGAGTATGTAACGCAAAACAGAGGTACATGGAAAAATGATGTTATTTAGTGTGACGTTATATGAGATTAGTGGTAGTAATAAGCAATCAATGCTTTAACTTCTTGATTTAATAGTTTGTATTCTCTGGCATCAATCCAATATACGAGCCATTTAAGGCAAGTATCTGGAGCTTTTGGGCCTTCGTAGTTCTTCGTTATGGGGATAGCTGTTCTTTACTTCACAGAGGCCACGTTCGAAAAACCATGATATGCATTTAGAGCTCTGATGCTCTCTTATCTTTTCCTTTTTCAAAGAGTATTCTATCGAAACAATCTAGGGATCGTTCCCGCCTTCTGGTTTTTGGTTTAGAAGACTTCTTTTTTGCCGTTTTCAGATCCAATAGCATTTGGTTCACTTCTTCGGCAACTTCGTCATTTGCAGCTGAAACCTCCTGTTCGGACTTGGCCTGGATTGATTCCAGGTATTTGTTTACAACTTGCAGTGCATCATCAACTTTCTTCAGTTTTCCTAAAATTAGCACTTGCTTTGCCAATGTGTCGCAACATTCCAATGTGAATGAACCGTACCGAGATATTTCTGCGCTTAGCATTTCCCTGTAGCAAATGAGGGCTTGATTGTAAGATTTACTCTTTGAAAATGAATAGGCAAGATTATCAAGGGTGGCAATGACTTTTGGATGGTCGTGACCTAAGATTCCTCGTTGCAGATATAGAGCCTCTCGAAATGATTCGATTGCCCCTGAAAAGTTCTTCCTCTTATTTTGTATGGACCCAATATTACATAATGTTTCAGTAAGCTGCGCCATGCAAGCGTCTCGGTCAGACTCGGTCTGAAATACTCCTCGATAAATCTCTAGTGCGTCCTGGAATGTAGCCTGCGCCGAGAACAGCTCGCCTGCTTCAAAGTACAAACAGGCAATATGACATAATATCTGCGCAACGTTTCGATGGTTTCGTCCAAGAACCTTGCGGGAAATTCGTAATGCCTCTCGAAGATCGAAAAGTCCCTCATCGAACTTTCCGAGAGAGGTCCTTGCGGAGCCCAGCTTCGCCAAAGTTGCCTTCAGTGAACAATTTGGATCCAAAGAAAACACACGAGTTAGATTTAAGTTGGTCACAATCACGAAAACTGCATCGGACCTACGCGTTTTGCGATGGAAATGAGCACAAAAAGCTTACCGCTAAATCTAGATGGTCTGATTTCAACACATTCCTACGAATCGTTAACGCCCGCAGAAACGCTTCTTCTGCTTTCAAGGGCTCTCCAATACGCAATCGGACAACACCGACGTTGTGTAATGCTGCCCCAACGCTGGAATGCTCCTCGCAACCGAATCTTGCAAGCTGGGCCCGTAATATCGCCTCGAACATCWGCAAGGCTTCTTGGTATTCACCTTCGTTCATAAAGACTTTGGCTGTTTCGTGCAGTTCTCGTCCGGTGATGCGACCGCGTCCGTTCCCGTTGCTTGTTTCAACAATAGACACAAGAGTGTCACTTGCATTTCCGACCGACGCGACGTCGGCAACTATGACACGTTGCCTTCGCAAGATTTTGGGTACGGTCAGACATGATTTCGAGCTGGTTCCAGTGTCTACCGTGTTCAAATTAATGGGAGTGCTCGAGTTCCAACTATGTTCCCGACGATGTGATCGGCGGTGTTGACGCCGACGATTCTGTGTATGATTATCTTGACAACCACTGTTTCTCCGGTCTGCCAACTCACTCGAGTTTTTATCTAGGTAGCTGAAAGTCGAATTACTCTTCATGGATTTCTCRAAGGAGAGAAGAGAAAATTGTTCTGCGTTACTAAAATCATCTGAATCAGTATCAACAGTTAAGTGAATGGGAGAAGGATCTGTAATGCGAGGCGACAAAGGAAGTAGCTTGAGAGAATCTGTATCCGAAGACGAACTGTTTTCGGAAGAACACGATGCATCGCTACTGCTATTTCCTCTACAATTGCGAGATTTAGAACGACTTCTTCGTCGACTGGAAGATCTTCGTCTAGATGRTCCTCGCCTGCGACTAGAGGAAGATGAAGCATTGGTGACAACGGACAAAAGTTTTTTCCCATTCATCGATGCCGGAGATTTGGGTGGAAGACAGTTTGAAGCTATTTTCTTCGACGTCTTCCGTTCCAATGACTCTGGAGATAGTTCAACRCTATTGCTGAACATGTTTATTGTCRATCTTCCTTGGTTCATTTTGATTCGACTCTTTTGGATACGATATTTGCTTCGGATTCTGAAGCTTCCATTGATCCTTTCCTTCTAAAACAATGCTGAAACAAATATGGAYGCTGAATCCGTTTTCAATGAAGACAAACAAAGCACTCGGCTGAATTCCAGTATGATGCAAAGGCGTGTCCATCCGCAGTGGTGATGGATGTGCACTTTTAATCCTAACCAAAAAAGCGCAAAACGGACAACCAAAGAGTACTCGGAATCAAAATCTTCGTTCAGTTCCTCGTTGTTATCTCGTGTATGGGAAAAGAGTCGTCGTTCTCTCTTATCTCATCGTCGGGCGTTCCTTGGTGTCCTTTTGCTCGAGCAAGCCTCCCTATGAATAAAATGGGTAACCGTATGGTCGTGCCTCTTTATCCTAGATCTGTGGTGGCATTTGTGGAAATCGGAGGCAGAGGGATACAAACAATCAAAAAACGCATGATTATCATGTGAATCATTGATCCTCACGATCATTAGGGTTATGTTCCTGAAAATTGACAAAAAACTAGTGAYAGTCGAAATGTTCCTTTGCACCCCGCGCGCCAAACAGATTGAATAAAAATTAATCAGAACCGATAATGTCTATAACAATTGATTCGTGAAAGAGAGAATTGCCTCACATATTTTTGGTCGGAGTTTGGCAGCTTAAAATTGATATTCTACGATGTGCCTGTAGAGTGCCAATCTCATGGTTCTTGAATCAAGAACATTCTGCGTTGCTTTTAAGATCGCGGGAGAAATTCGGAGGGAAATCATGACAGTCGTGCGAAAAGTTTAGCTTCAACAGATTTTTTGGACTTCCAACCATAAACGTTACAATAATCTTGCAACCCTCAAATTATGTCGTAGTTTTTTCCAACAGTTARTACYATTATTGGAAATAATTATTACTGTCTACTTTGTAAGGTTAGGAATTCGCCTAAGCTTCACTAATAATATCACTGTAGTTTTTCTCATGATGAYAGGTCGTCCATTCTTTAGCCTTGAAACTTGGATTTCGCTTGTCTTCCCAGCCTTTCKGCACCCTACGAGWCGTCRTTAGGGTTCAAAGCGAACCAGTCTCGTAATGCAGCTTTCGCATCGGTATATTTGTGCTGTGGACAATTCTGTCCAAAAATAGGCTAAGTCATCTCCATTTCAGACTTGGTTTATTCATTCGCACTAATGTCCTGGATGACCACATCATAGGATTGTAGCATCGAAACAAATAATTTCAATGACGAGATCGTAGTAGATTTTCCAGCATGACACGAATTTWTTTGGTATATTGCATCCCTCTTATTTCTTTTGCGTGTAAGAATGTATATTTCAAGCATTAACAAAGAATCAACAAAACTGTATAAAGTATTGGCGCTTTCGGTTGGAGCTCCATCGTTCTCTTTTTCGACRACTAAATTTACAGTTTATCCCATGTATTTTTTTCTGGKATCAAGTTACCGTCGTCGTCCTCGAGTTCATCAACTTGAAAATTCTTCATAAGATCAGGCTTTGATTTGTCTAGTGACTGTCTTGAAAGACCATGTCTGGTAACGAAAGTGGGGAACGAAGATTGAACGGGCAACGAARCAGAAAATAAATCTTGATTGCCAAATTCCACAAAATTTCCGTTCAGCAAAGATGGATCGTCTGCATAATCTACCATTAGGTCTCCCATAAGGCTACTTATGCTGTTTCGAACGTATGCATTATCTAGAAATTTTGCGTTGAAATCAACCGAGTTCATGCATTGAAGATTGTTGTCCGAAACGTTGAACTCTCCAATGCTGTCAATTTGAGTATTGTTGCCACCATAGGAAGATGTATCCCTTGGTTGTTCGTCAGGCAGRTTGGAGTTGCCATCGTTATCAAATTCAAAAGGCATAGCGATCTCCACGGCTCTCGCGGACTGAGAATCTTTCGGAGGTCCGAGAAAAGAAAACCGAAGCGTATTTCGAAGAAGCTCTCGCCTTGTCCAATCCGGATGCTGTTGCTTTAGGCGGGCATAATGAGTGTAGCGGTAAACTAGTATATTGAATGCACCCTGTAGAGGCTCAAAGAAACCCTGSAATATAACTAACCAAAGATGATTCGTGATATCGTAATACTGAAGTTGTCGATTGATGGTCGGAAAGAGCCATATCATCCAAAATCCTACGACATATGCAATTGATTGGTATAAGATAAGGCGGGCACCAATGTGATACGTTGCGGCATGTTGTCTGGCAGCCGAAGGGAAGTCTTCAATTGTTTCCACAACCAACCGGACGTCAGCACTCCTTATTGAGTCGATCGGGGTCGTTTCGATCTTGGTCTGTTGCTGCCGCCCTTCGTTCTGCTGACGAGGCCATAGACTTAAGCGCTCAGCAAATTTCTCTGGTAAGACCATTGTTGGGATTCTCCTATTATCTCCGTGACTCGATCGGCTTGACTGAACATCTTTCTCTATGTGATCGTGTTCTTTCGTTTCATATTCGCCTTCACGATCAGATGAGACTCGCACACTAGTCTCTCTTTGTTGTTCAATAATTTCCAATTCCGTTTCCCCGCTGATTGGTACAAGCATAGGACCRGACGACGTTGCAATATGCAATTTTTCGCCTTTATCGATGCTGTTTTTTAATGTTGAAAATAAGGAAGCAGGATGCTGCCCAAAAGTGAAGTTTATACCTGTTTTTTTCTTGGGTGAACGTAGGAAAATAGAAGTTTTTTTGTGTGATTTTGACAAAGATACCTGTTTTCCAAGCGTTGGTCGTCCGTGTTTTGCGTGATGTATGGCGTGGAGCTTTTTCGCCTTTTGATCTCTTTTTCTTACAGTGCGATAAATCCAAACGTTGACAGCTAGGACTAATATCATGGACAACCAAAGTGGTATGTAGAAAAAGATAAAGCGGTAAATGAACGCATTATCTCCCCGCACACATGTTGTCTCCTCGCCTTCTGGTAGTGCGAAACTTTCTTCACAATTRAACGGAAGCTGAGCGATCCAGCACCATAGAGTCCCGTTGTTGAATAAATCCAATATTATTGAGGCAACACCTGTACCTAATCCAAAAAGGAGTCCAGTAGCATGCATGAATGGTTCAACATAGCTCGCAATAGTGTATTCGGTTACCTCGAACTTCAAAATCAACAGGTAATAGACGGAAAGGCATACGTGGTCTATTCGATAAAAAAGGAATGGAACACCTGAATTGTTTAGAATCCCCAAGACTTGCTGTGCACAGAAAAAAGTTGYAAAATATCTAGCCTGTGGTCCTACGCTGGAGACAAAAAGCTTCCACATTCACGTGCACATTCACATGCACATGGGCAAGCGCAAATAYATTTATATCAAAGCAGTCAAACTTTCGCAACACCCCAACTCTAAACACAAGCTGTGTTTCCAATACTTACATATGGGCGGAATAATTCCCAACTGGATGAAGAACCCTTGAGCAGTACASGTTTGGGTATTTCCGTGAGCCCAAACCGCATCAGTCGAATCAACGGGCATCGGTATTGTACTAAACATATAAGCAACAGATGTAAATGCATTCACAACAGACATGCCTAAAAGCAGCCGGTTRTAGACCGTCTGAATCTTGGCTCTCGTCGTCACAACTTCCACGATGATCCATCCAGATCCGATCAGAGACAAAAATCCGGAAAACAGAGGCAAGATACTTAAGAATATCTCCACCTTGGGGCCAAACTCGAGGRGACCAGCCATGGCTCAATTATTCTTGTATGAAGCGGCCAATCCTTTGATTCTAGCCATTCGAATAGCGAATTTCAATTTTCGGCAGCCTCACGAGCCATAGACGGGTTGGAGTATTCCAACAACGATCGAAAGGCTGAAAAAGATTGTCTTCTGTAGAAAATGACGTTGAGTGGAATAAAAACTCTGTTGAAACTCTATTGATGTGAGCTCTGTTCCAAATTTGCTAGTGGTTGAGATGATGGCATGCGTTACTTTCTTGTAGAAAATACGTCCTGTAAGAAGTACAGTACTTTTTTATGTCCTACCGAAACACAGTCACCCTTTAAACAACGCTCTCGATTATCATCGTCATCTGGAAAATTGAAAATTGTCAATTTCTGTTTTTGGGAAAATTCCCAACCCCCCTTTTGAATAACATGATCCAAAAGGCTTCCACAAAATGAATTTTGGTCAAAAACCACCAATAAAATAAATGGGCCATCCGTTCAACTAGCATTGGTCCCACCAGGAAGCCGATGATCGCGCGAAACCARAAGGCATACCGGTAGATGAGTTTTCCAAGCCACCGGGTTGGATGTCCAGAACTCCAACCGGGCAGATTCTCATTCATTTACTTTCTAGCTTAATCTTCATARCATTCAGATTGTCTAATTACAATACCTTCATTCACGASATTGGTGCAATTTGGAACCCATGATCGCGCATCCTACGATCAAGGTGGAATATCCTCATGCCTTTTTCAAACGGAACCATTTTTGGCATGTATACTTGTAGAAACAATTCCACCAATCATTCAAAAAAGAGCAGTATTATGCCTGCTCACGACAAGAAGAATGAAGAATTTATTAGCTACTTCTTCTTACTYYTACTAGGCTGCTGGCTCTCTTTTGATATTTGTATTTGACAAGTGACCGTTTCATAGGAATATGCTGAGTTTTTAATTCAACAGKGCTGCTGAGGCAAAAGTGACGCCTGCTATTTCTGTCTCACATTCTGAAGAGACAGGCGAAATTCTATTCGTGGGTAAATCAACGATATTGTTTAGTCTTATGAGAATTCGTTATTASGCAATTGATCTGTGAAAAAACATCTTTTTGGAGCTTCATCACAACGAAATACATGCATTTGAGAACCACATAATAGTTCTTGGATGCAATCTGCCAATGAATATGAGTTTACTTTTGTTTTTGACATCGATACTTTTCAACCCTGTAAAAAATTACTTACGATCGAGTAAAGAAGCACACCGAGAGTAGACCTCTTCGGCACACAGACTTCTCACTACATCGAAAACTACTGGAACAATCTCCCTTCCCTGAAAATGAGTGTTGTATCGCTTGAACTCATTCCAAGTCATCAAAAGAATTGAATTCAGAGGTGACTTTGTTTCCAMCTGACCATCACKCTGTAAATCTCAGAGCAACTCTCGTTACAAAAACGTCCAAACTAGCTTGTCATGGTTTAGGGTTAGAGAGGGCCTTGGCGTACATTGCGTTCCAATCCGTCTTGTTCGAACGCTGCMTGGGTGGCTCCGCAAAAGCYCCAGTCCCTGTACCTGACCCTGATGATGAGTTCTTCGACATCGATGACATAATTGTACCCATTGTAGAAGCAGAGACTGTAGTGCTAATACTGGAACCAACCAATGACTTGAGCATGTCCAGTGTTTTCGCAGAATTCGCATTTTGCATATTGAATGCGGCTGTCCCCATAGCCATCCCCGTTGGTGGTACCCCCGCTTGTTCCATATAACCATCAAAACTTTTCATATCTAAGCTTTGTAAAATACCAATCGATGGAGCAAAAGATCCCATCGTATTTGTTGGAAGTGCCGGAGCACCTGGATTACCGCCTACACCAAATCCATGGTTTGTGTCACTTGATGGACCATTATTGGCATGGTTTGCAGACATCCCAGCTGCTGCACTGGATGCACCGACGGAAGTCATCCACGACGGTGGAAACTTCGATTGGTAAGAGTTTATTCCAACAGATGATTGCATAGGAACAGAAGAATTGGCGAAATTTGCGGCACCAGCATTTGATTGCAGCCCCGCGTTGTTGGTGTTGCCGAACATTGGCATTTGATCAACCCTGTATTTTAAAATGTCATCTACCGTCGGTATAACGTGAGATTGTCCTGACGGTTGTCTGTTTGATGAGTTAAATAAGAAATCGAGCTTGTTCTTTCTACTTGAGTTCGGGTTGGAGACCATCCTGACTGAGTTTGATCTATTGACCGCGTTGGCCCGAGCTGCGTTGAGCGCAGTCATTGTGGCAGCTGGATAAAGCATGTTAGAATTTCCTAAACCTGGCATTGAAGTCCCCCATGGGACTCCCATGTTGAACATGTTTCCGGTCATCATGTTGGGTCCCTTGTTTTTATTCATGGCGTTCACCGTCGCCATCATGGGAGATATGTTGCTGTGTACTTTGTCTTCGATTTTAAGATCTCTTGCCCAATACGGAACATACTTATCTCTTAAAGCTTGTTTTACTTTGTCCAACACAACTGTATCAGGCAGGATGAACCAACGCTTGCTTTTGCTATCAATGTTCAAGAATCTCCCTCTCAATGTCTGCTTGACATACATTAGAATCCCATTTGCGATTCTGGATTTATCGAGATCTGTTTTTAAAAACAATTGCGAGAAGTGAATTCAACAAAGAGACGAGCAAAAATTCTTCTTTCAGTACAAGATGAAATCACTATTATTTGTCTGAGTCTGTTGCAATGCTGCCAGCAGCAACTTGATGGTTTGCGTACGTACCACTGCGACAATTTGTGTATTCTGCTCGAGACTCCAAAATCCGAACCCAATATGGACGATTCCCCGGATGGTGATTCGAACGTCCTTGGTTGTTGATCAAGTGTCAAGGCAAGCACATTTCTTTAGTAATGAACGGAAGAAACAATCATACGCAGTGGTCACAACGAAGAAACGATTCCTACAATAAAAACCAAGAGGAAAGATAATGAACAGCAGAGGAGAGAAGACAAACAGAGAAGGTATCTCACTCACCCCCTCGACCTCCAACAATGTCTCTCGCGGTTGGCTGCTCGTCTTCTGGGATGTACTCCTTCTCGTTCGGAATGATCCGACGGGGTTTTCGTGAACGACCCTTCTTCTGATTCTTTTCTGAATTTTCGTTCGCAATGCTTTCGGCATCTGTAAAACCCATCCTCGTCGTCGTTATTTTATGTTTGGTGTGGATGATTTTCTTTGTTGTTACTGGCTTGAGCTTCTTTTTCTCGGCAGCAGAAGATTGATTCCCGGCGTGGAGAGCAGCAGAAATGGCACCCGCAGCGGTTGTGTCTGCACTAGCGACCGCAGCACTAGAGCTCATATGATAATTGTTGTGTGRTATCATGGATCTCGATGGATAAAGACCCTCTGCCGGACGCTCATCGCGACCAGGCAGGTGGGGTTGCCGTCGTGAAGTACGTTTCATGGGCGGGGGTGGAGGTGGCGCTTGGGGTGAACTACCAGTAGATGAAGTTGCGCCACCTATTTCCCTTTTTAGGAGAGAGTTCGATTGAGCATAATCAAACTTTGTCATTTCCTGGATTCTTGATCCAAGGTAGTCAGGATTTGATGACAATTCGTTGGTAATTGTTCCAAGATAGCTATGAACAAGAAGTGACAAAAACTAAGCATTTGTGTGTTTGTGCAACGATGGTAAGAACTGGACTTGCAGTTTCGGTTACAACTCTGCCGTAAAACGAAGGCACATACATCTTCTTATTCGTAGACAGTGTTCAGTACAAAGAGGGCTCGGTGAGATCAATAGGAAAAAAGAAAAAMGGGGTYTTTATTTAAAAATTGGTCACCGGCGCATAACCTGTGCACGTTAGGACCACTGTAGTACCAATTGAAACGAACTAAAGAGTCAAAAAAGAAATAGCCCTAACCTGGCTGGCTAACGCAAAGGCAGTCATCTTGCGTGACTCAATCAATCGTAGGATAGAGGGGCGTATCCATTTTGAAGATTGAAAAGAAAGAAGTCAAAGAAGCAATGAATTATTTTTGTCCATYTGGACCTCTSTTGCCCCGATTACTGGTACGAGTTGCTAGTGAAGAATACGAGTACGTACTGTACGCTGATGTTCGGGCAGCTTTCAAAGAAGTACGTACTGTACATTAATATGATAGTACGGTACCTGAGGAGGTTTCTCGGAGGCACAAACACTGCCAATACCATAACGTGCTTGATCTAAAAGAATGAGTGCGAAGAAATACGTTGCCGCAGTCCTCGGCGGCTCGGGATCTGTCGGAAGGCATGTCGTGAATTCAATCCTTGCAGATCCATCATGCGATCAGGTTCTACTCGTATCGCGTCGTGAACTGGAAGATATCAAATCGATGGATCCTGAACGGGTGACTGTGCRCGTGTGCGATCCCCTCGATGACATTGCCACAAAAGACTACTTGRCCGGTACGAACATCGCTTTCTGTACACTCGGACACGGATCTTCGCGAAAGTCGACAAAAGATGATCTTGTTCGAGTCGATGCGACGATACCTGGCGAATTTGCAAAAGCYTGTAAGAAAGCAGGTGTGACGCATTACTGCATTATGACGGCTGTGGGAAGTGACGAAAATGCCAGGTGGAGTTCTCTTACCAAAACGGCTGCGGGTGGAGGTTGGTACAATCACGTGAAAGGCCTCGCCGAGAGGCTCRCTATCGAGGCCGGGATTCCGTACACTTATGTTGCCCAACCGGGCGCTTTGCTTGGAAGTCCTCACACGCCAAAAATCGTGGAAATGATTCCCAACTTCATCTTGCCCGCGATCTATTCATCTGCACACGTCAAAGATATTGCCAAGGGCATGGTTACCACGACTGYGAATGCGTACCAAGAGGACAAAACCGGCGTGGTTAAAATTACTGGAGGAATACCAATTTCTGAAGGYAGGGCACAGTAATATTCTTCTTGTGTACCGACGTSTTTGATTGTTCGTAGTATTCGATATGAAGATATTCGTAAACAGCGATGAATRATGATRAACAGAGTTTCTACCTAAGATTRTTGAGTGGATTGTTTTCCACATCAGCATTTCACTTGGAACCACGAAGTCGTCTCTGCCACCGTTGGATCGCCCCCTTCAAACCGACGAAATTCCATTCTTGTAGAACAAGAAGCAGCAACTATTGCTCATCCTGYGTTCAATCAGGATAAGTGTCACATTTCTTTGTGGTATAGTAGTGAGTGGATAGTCTTTGATAACAGAATGAAAAAGGAGGGATTTTTCCTCTTGGCTGCCAAATGTACAGACTACCTAAGAGTGATGTGTAGGGTTAGAGTTGAGGCATGACTCAAATGCGCAGCAATTTCCTGTTTTGTCTTGTAGTTATTTTCAATTGTCATTTCTAGTATTAGTAGATACATGGTGCAAATAGAATAGACCTGAGATGTCAAAATATGCTTTAAAGGCAGAGGAAGTTTTTATGATCAATCTGATGGGATCCATCTTCCGCTGTTATGCGTGTTTTTAAACAAATTTCTTTCCTATCCATCCTCGTTCTTTCCTGATATACAACAAGATCCTTCTAACAGTACCATTTTGAACCAAAAACAACATCTGAATCTTGTCATCCTGAGATTGGGCACATTTTTCAAACAAGAACTTTGCTCAAGTTCATCTAGTTGTTTTGTTTGTAAGTTTGAAATCTTGACCATTCATATAGACTACTAGWAGTACTACAAGTAGAAATCATTGGAAATATGGTGGCGATGATATCATTCAAGTTGATTTTCTTGTGTCCATAAAAATATTTTGAAAATATTGTATCTAATTTAATTTGTTGTTTGTTAAACTCAAATCTCYCTTGATCAAATAGAAAATATTTTATTTGGGAAGTGATTTGATGAAACACAATCATGTTGTAAATTAAAGAAAAAATACAGCAAACAACAAAATTGTAGTAGCTAATTGTGCTCCTGGTGATATCTTCACTTGAAAATTAAATCATAATCTCACAACAAAAAATCTAATTTGTCTTGGTATGTTTTTTAATTATGTTGTTTCAAAGCTGAATTCAGTCAATCCTTTTTCTTTTGGAGTTGTGGAAAACAAAGAGAGGAAACGAGTGATGTGCTCCTCATAGTTTTACATCACCTACAAGAACATTCCTAGTAATACCAACAACAAGTACAACCAATTACTGCAACATAAGTCTACCACTCTGTATGATATATCCRACTATTCCCACTCTTCAATTTTATAGTAATGCATCAACACCAAAAATAGTTTCAGTCTTCTTCATACTAGCTACAAGATGCATATTATGCTAAACAATTGTAGTAGTAGTAACAATAGAATGAATTTTCCAGTAAGGAGACATTCAGACACAAATACAGAATTTCCATTTGACATTATGATATGTGGTACTGGCTGGCAAAACTTCATATTTCTTATAGGAAGATCATATCCTCCCATTTTGCTGATCATGGTTTTGCTCCTGAAGGCATGGTTTGASGAAGAAATCTACAATGCATCCATTATTATTGTATAATGGACACCTRAATCTATGATAGAGTCATACATTTTAGGACCTTTTTTTGTGTGTAATGACTACTTTGACAAAAAACTGACTTGTAATACATYATGTGCTTAATGGACAATTTTGGCTTGAAACACACCATGCAAATCACTTTGTCAAAGTACTATTAGTAAAAACTACACAACAATAAAAAGGTAGCCCAAAATCACTGCACAGTATTAACTAAGGGTCAACTCATTCTAACAGCTGTATCTTGGTTGCAATGGACAATTAAGAATGAWAGGCACATGAATCAAAACCTAGTAGTGGAAAGAGGAATCATTTTGTGTTGGGTTTGAAAAGGTACAATTTTATATTACTGTCTGAACATTTTCATTCAAAAAAGTAGTACAACTGGATCGCACATTTTTTCTCTGCCCACTCTAGTATCCAATACTAGTAGAATGGTGTTCTTGATAGTATTGTCATCTTCTTGTGCCTTCCATAATGCTATGTCTTGTTGGAGGAAGAGTAGAAGAGACCTTCTCCAGAATACCAGTGCTGGAGAGATTGAAGAAGCCCTGCCATGATACCAATACAATTTTCTGAAAGCAGTTAATTCTTTCTGCTGTTTATTTTCAACCCAAAAAATTACAAGTCCCTTCTGAACTGCTGTGGTGTAATAGGAGACTAAAAATTGCCTCTGAACAGATCTTCTCCATCTTCATCCCTTCTATTCCATTACCTGCAGTGGCAAACCAACAGGATAGCCCTGGGAAGAAGGAAACACATGATATTAGACCAGTGCTCTTGTATCTTTTGGGCTTTGTTGGAGCCTGTGGCATAAGCTGGTGCATCCATAACACTTGGCCTAAAATCCACTATGTGTACAAATKGTAAGAATTAATTAATGATTACTACAGGGCTGGTAATGCTACGGGAGGAAGAAGCAAATACTAGTACCCCCAAGATTTAGAAAAGGGGATTCTCACTKTAGAATACTCCTTATGCATCAAAATGTTTCCCCTAGGTATATCTGAAAAATCTGTGCAATCATTTATGTGCTACTATGTGTTTGGGCAGAGCCACAGACAATCAACATGTTCCCAGTTGGACTTTTTCATTTTGGCTCCTGATRTTCCTGTCCAGAATGACAGTGCTGTAACACACGTAGTTATATTTGGCTAGTAGTATTTGTTTGGTTGTTACACATGAAAAGATACCCCCATAGTAGTATACCTAAGGAATCTGCTGTGTAATTATGWTTAGGATATTGTACAGTAGGGCTGTGATTGTAACAATCCATCTGCTCTCAGGTGAAATATTTCATTCTGGCTGATATTCCTGCACAGCAGAATTTTTGTAGCAAGAGCTGACATCTTAACAGCTGCATACTTAGTCTTGATGGATTGCTWGCTTCTAAAGAAGGGCCAACTTTTTGCATACTCTGCCACAATGAGACCCCAGTCATCTGCACTAATGGGAAGCCTCTCAAGTATCATAATCATGAGACTGTGTAGCTACTACTAGTAGCTACTAGCTCATCCTTGGAGTACATGTTTGCTACCACACCTGCCTTCAGGCTGGTGGTGTTGCTGCCAGCACTTGCCATCTTCTTCACAAAAATAGTTTGGGGGGTTTGACAATGAGCTGCCTCTTTGTTGCAGTTGCCAGCCTCCTCCTTGCAACAATGAGCTGCCTCTTTCTTATGGTTACCAGCCTCATGTTGTTGTTGTTCTCTTTGCTGCGACAAAGAAAGGAGGAAATAGAATGTACTGACTAAGAGCACTGATCAAGACATAGTTTATGTGGTGTTATACTTAACAGAGGTGCTTAGTAATGGCGCTTTGATAGTTAAGAGAGGAGATGATTAGTAATAATGACACCTCTCTTTGTTGTTGTTGTTGTTGTTGTTGTTGTTGTTGTTGTTGTTGTTGTTGTTGTTGTTGTTGTTGTTGTTGTTGTTGTTTAGGATAGCCAAATCTTAATTGTCTTGATCTTAGTCTAAATTTTGACAGGCCTTTCTGTTAAATCTTTCAGCAGATTTGAAATTTTGAATTATGAGTTCCATCATCGAATTTATTTTATTTGATACCACAAGTTTGGCCGATATCAAATGTAATAAAGGTTGTTACAGATGTAATAAATTTTTGGTTTGTCATTCTACCAAAAGTAGCACATATTTTAAGGGGAACAGACCAATATTAAATTGGATGATTCCCGTTATTCTAAAATATCTAAATCTGATAGACTGACAGACCAAAATTTAGAACATGTGACTGTAGACTTAGCATATTTAGAACTGGTCAAAGGACCCAGTCCTAAATAATCTACATTTACAGTGGAACCTGTTCAAAGACTCAACAGAAAGGTCTGCCAAAATTACAATTCAGTTATTCTAAACAACAGCACTAAAAGAGTAGGSGCCTCTGTTAACAATGGTGTTGGGTGYCTCTGTTCACCATGGTGCCATATAAATAATGTACCAACAACCRGTCTTTCTTCTCACTACATTCTATTTTCTCTCTTTGTTGTTGCATCAAAGAGAGCAAAAGGAGGCCRGCAACTGCTGTACTAAAGAGGCAGCTCATTGTCCAATCCCTCATATYATTTATGTTAAGATGGATCAAAATGGCAACAATGCTAACAATGGCCACAGGGTTGSTACTGTTAACTACTCRGAAGAAAAGCTAGAGAGCCTCATGGAGTTGATACTGGAGGTACTCCCCATCAATACAGAACARTGGAATACAGTGGTCACCAAGCATGCTATAAACTTTYCCTTTGGCAGAAGMAAGAAATCCATTAGGAACAAGTACAGTTCTGTGAAAAGAAGGAGAAGCTCTACCAGGTAACCCCAATATGCAAAGGTACATGAAGCTTGCAAGGYAGGCYCATTTCTTGATTGGAAAGGAGGCAAATATTRGTACTAGAGAGCAGGACTTTGATATGAAGAAAGGCTTCATTAAGAGTGAGTCTATGGAGGGTTTGGAGAGGACCTCCCCTGCTGAAGCGTCCATTGGAAGAGCACCCATTATCCTTGATGGCAATGGGACAAGTGATGAGTCACCGACGTTGCAGTGATTGGTTGTGCAATCATCATCAACTACTCCAAAGAAGAGATCATATAGAAAGCAAGAATGTTCCTGATACTGCTGCATTCAATGAGTATTTGAAGAGCCAGCAAGAAAAGGACAAAGAGAATTGTGAGATAGCTTTCAAGCATTCTAAGATTTCTAAGGAGRCAAGTCAAATTGCTAAAGAGACCAATCAGATGTGAAAGGATGSTCTCAGTATAGCAATGAATTGCTTCCAGCAATGGCAGAACACCCAGCAGCAGCTTGTTCAAAGTGGCAACAACAACATAGSGGGAGGAAGAATTCCATGGTGAAAACTAAACCCACAGTCAATACTTGCAAACACAAATTCAACACAAATTCAAATRAACTTAATTCATTGAGCAGCTCAGTTGGAACACTGACTATGCCGTCTRGGTGTTTGTGAAGAGCAACCAGYATCACTATCCTTGAAAACTTAAGCTACTTGTTCATCACTGTGGATGTCAAGCCWAATGCCATTGTCATTGACCTTGCTACAGATCCTCTTGTCCTGTACCAATAGAGGACCAGTCCAATAGCACAGACAGCATCAATCTCTCTCTTTTCCCCCTTGGGCTTGCCTCTGGGGAAACAAGAAGGAACCTCCATGCTCTCATTGTTGGCATTGACTGTGTCCTTGTTGTAGACTGGAGCAAAAATATATACAAGCTYGCTCCCTGAAGACTTTGTGGTCTACACCCCAGCAGTTGAGTACAAGTATTGGTGCGAAATAGGACTTGACAGCTTTTTAACAGTACAAAATATATACAGCTCTATGTGCAGAATGATAGTCTTAACTGCATTACTAACTTACACCCTGCACCTCAAGCTGTC